GGAGCTCCTGACGGCGTACGTGGGCGCTCAGGAGAACTGGCAGTCCGTGTGCCTGGTCCTGGGCGTGGGCCTCGGGCCTGGCTGGAGGAGGAGGAGGAGGCGGAGGAGGAGGAGGAGGAGGAGGAGGAGGAGAAGGAGGAAGGAAGAGGAGGAGGAGGGAGGAGGAGGGGGGGGGGAGGGGAGGAGGAGAGGAGGAGGAGGAGGAGGAGGAGGAGGAGGAGGAGGAGGAGGGAGGAGGAAGGAGGAGGAGGAGGAGGAGGAGGAGGAGGAGGAGGAGGGGGAGGGGGGAGGGGGAGGGGGATGGGGGAGGGGGAGGAGGGAGGAGGGAGGAGGAGGAGGAGGAGGAGGAGGAGGAGGAGGAGGAGGAGGAGGAGGTTGCTGACCGTGGTGACTGCACGGGGCAGGACCCCCTCTCCGCAGAGCAGTCCGAGCCTACCAATCGATCACCCCTCGGCGTCAGAGAACCCGCGAAGGCCACCACATCCGAGGGGGATCTGAAACCATGCAAGGCTGCAACAGCAACGTCCTGCAGCATGCGCACCTCGGTGCCGTAAGCCGAAGACGTATCCGACTGAGACAAATCCCCTCCCGCCTCCTCCCCCCGCGCGCCTGCCAGGAGGGACGGGAAGCGAGGGGCCCAGTCGGCGTCGACGTCCGCTGAGATTCGTCGCACGCCCTCGATGCGGGTGACAAGGCGAGGGGCGAGCCCACGGCGCAGGCGGGAACGCTGCGAGCGCAGCCCCGGAGGCCCACCCCCGACACACCCCGCCTGGCTCCGCGCCCGACCGCACGTTCCTGAGCACCGGGGCCCCGCAGGATCTGCAAGCAGTGAGGTCGGGAGCAGGCGAGGCTCCCTCCTCCAGGGAAGCCGCCGAGGCCCGCACAGGCAGGGTGCCGATCGAGCACCCAAGGGATCCCAGAGAGGGCCTGCAGGGACTCCTCGGGGTCCTCGACGGCAGCAGGAGCTCCTCCTCCTCCTCCTCCTCCTCCTCCTCTCCTCCTCCTCCTCCTCCTCCTCCTCCTCCTCCTCCTCCTCCTCCTCCTCCTCCTCCTCCTCCCTCCTCCTCCTCCTCGGGGGGAGGGCGAGCAGCAGCCGAGGCGGTCCCCCCTTTTAAGGGAGCACCATCCCCTCGAGCGGCAGAGCGCCAGCCTCCCGCGCGGCCTCGCCCGAGGCTTCTCCTAGTCCTGCGGGTGGAGTGCGCGTGACGGGCTCGAGGTCCCAACATCAAGGGACGAAGAAACACCCCGACCCCGATTCCTTGGCCTCTACGAAGCTCGGGTCGGGCGAAAGGGGGGGATCGGGAAAGGGGGGGTTACGAAATTTGCTGCATGCAGCTGGTTTCGGCCTCACCGAGGGGCCCATTCCTCGATACATAGCCGCCTCTGGCGCCGGGAGGCGCCGGGAAAATCAGCTACGTGAGCTGATTCTCAAACCCCCCCTTTGCTATCCCCCCCTTTCGCCCGACCCGAGAAACGGCACTTGGCGTTTGCTGAACAGCCCTGCCCTGTTCGGTTCCTCCCTTGGGTGTTTGTTCACTAGACACTGAACGGCTTCGCTTGTCGGGGTGCCTCTTATGAGGGTGGATTTTCTGCTCTCTACACCAACACCCTCAGAGTCAACGAAACCACCATCGACACAGAGTTGGTGGGCCCTCGCATGCCATCTTGATGCACTATACGTAGGCCATGGCCCTGTCTCGACCCCCTGATCAAAGACAAGTTGCCAGGGGGGCGACCGTCTTTGGGCGCCCCTCTTCGCCGCGTGGTCAGCCAACTGATGACTCACTATGAGCCAGTCGTCTTCAAAGCTAGTGCAGTGGAAGCCCTTGCCAAGAAGCACCCTGCTTGCCTCCAGGGTGCCCTGGGTTTCTTGGGTGTCGATGGTTTTGCTATGGCAAGCGTGACGTTCCCACACCAAGAATCAATGGACGTCCTGGGGTCTCAGGGTTGGGTTTCTTGTGGAACGTTTCTTATAGTCGAGCTAGTATTGTAGCAGAGGTGCGCGCCTGGTGGGCCTTCATCTTGACGACAGAGGCCCCTCGACCACCATTCGCGGATACTGCCGACGCTATCGCTCCTTGCCGGACTGCACGTTCAGGGAGCTTGTACGCCGAACAGAGACATTTGAGCAGGCCCACGGGGAACCCTGTGCTGATGGCATCTTGCCTAAGCTTCTTTTGAAACGCCCAGGACTGCTTTCTTTTTTGTGCTGTCGTGCATGATGTCACATGCTTTCATTGTGGGATCTTCTGCAGCGGAGCAATCATGGAGCAATCAAGGAGGATGAGAAGGAGAAGGACAATGAGCAGAAAGAGCAGCTACAGGATGAGGAGAAGGAAAACAGGGAACGGCTTCGCCTTTTGGCAACTGCGTCGCACCGCGGTTGTCCTCTAGAGGTGGTGCCGACCGTCCAGTTATCCACAATCATTCCTCCATTCCTCGTCTTCGCCTCCCTCACTCCACATGTTTCATTTCCCTTGCCCTTTGCTCATCCCTGTCTTCCACCTCCTTCCCCTCTGCCTCCCCAAGCTCCCTCGCCTCCCCACCCCATTACGCACCATACCCTACAGTGCCGTTTTTAATACATGCTCCGCGTGCGGATCATGTATTCAACATGCAGGGATCTAGTATGAAAAACAGCGATGAGTTCGTGCATACATTCATTCATGAATTAATCATGTATGAAACATCAGATTTGTGTTACAAATCCTGTGTATGAAAAACTGCCCTGTACATTCCTCCTCCTCCTCCTCCTCCTCCTCCTCCTCCTCCTCCTCCTCCTCCTCCTCATCATCATCATCATCATCATCATCATCATCATCATCATCATCATCATCATCATCATCATCATCATCATCCCTCACCCGGCCCCTCTCAGTGTACTTGCCCCTGCCCTCCTCCTCTCCTCCAGCACGTGCCCCTGGGCCTCTACAGGCAGGCGCGCGCTCCGACCCCGCAATTTTCCTGCCGAGGGAGGCAAAAAAGCGGCCGGCCGCGGCGACGAGGCGCCACCCGGGGACCCCCGCCCGGCGAGAAGCACAGGCACGCGAAGGTCTTGCATCCTCGCACCTCGAGCCTCGAGCCTCGAGCTCCTTCCCGCCACCCCCCCCCCCCCCAAGCCCCTCCCCCCCTCGTCCTCTCCCCCTCGTCCTCTCCCCCTCGTCCCCTCCCCCCCTCGTCCCCTCCCCCCCCACCCCATCCCTGCCCCCCTCGTCCTCTCCCCCCCCCCCTGCCGGCACGGCCCCCCGCCCGCGCCCCGCACGAGGCACGAGCGGGCCGTCGAGCGGGCGCGTGGCCACGGAGGCCGTCACGATCAACCGCCCCCTCGCGCGGAGCGTCGACAGCCGGGAGCTCGCCGAGGCGCTGCTCAACGGGCAGGACGGCGCGGCGCGCGGCCCGCGGCGGCCGCGCGCGGCGGCCGCGGGCCGTGGCGCCAGGGGCGCCGTGCCTCCTGCCTCCCCCCCCCACTCCCCACGCCCCACGCCTTCCTCGCCCCACTCATACAGGACCCGCCCCACGCCTTCCTCTTCCCCGAGCGACCGCAGGCACCATCGGCCGCCCAGGTGGAGGCTTCACGACCCGATTAGTGGTAGGGCCGCGGAGCCCTCGAGTCGGCCAGAATCGCTGAGCCAGGTCTGCCGCAGCTGGCGTTTTCTCGGGTCCACGGCAGCTCCGGTTAGTGGAACGGGGCGGGGGGGCGTCCCCCAGTACACATCATCGGGTGTTGCTAGAAGTACCCCTGGCCCAAAGTACCCCCAGGACTCTCGGGGTGGCCCAGACGGTCTCCAGGGCACCCGTCACGAGGCCCAGAGGGCTCCAGGGGCTCGAAACTGGAGCGAACTGCTGGGGGCACCTTGGGCTAGGAGCACTTCTAGCAGCACCCGACATCACTGAACCAGGTTCCACCGAACCCAGCTCTGCCAACGCCCGGTCCGTGCCTCGCCCCAGAGCTGTAGCTCCGTGCGCTGGTTCGCCGATGGCGGGCCGGTGCCGAGCCGTGCCTCCTCGCGTGCGGAGCGAAGCGAGGCGCACCCGTGCTAGGAAGCTGGAGCATGCACAGTGCCAGCGGCGGGCCGCGGAGCGTTCGAGGAGGGCTCCGAGACGGATTGCGGGCGAGGCGCTGAAGTTTGGGCCACGTCGGGCTCAGGAGGGGCTCTCGTGGTCGAGGTGCGCCTCAGAGCCAGGCCTGGGGGAGCCCTTTCGTGACCGAGGGCTCGGTGTGGCCAGAAAAGTCCGCTCGTCCTTCCTTCTGTTTTCCTCATGGCAGCACGATTGCTGTAGGGGGGGGGGGGGGGCAGGGGCGATGGGGGGAGGGAGGACTGAGGGAGAGGGTTGGGGGAGGGGGAGGGAGGGAGGGGGAGGGAGGGCTGAGGGCGAGGGGACGGGAGGGAGGGTTGAGGGAGGGGGCCAGGGGAGGGGGGGGGGAGGGGGGCAGGGCAAGCTAGGTGCGCTCGCGTCATATCTGACGTCCTACCCCTCCCTCCCATCCCTTACCATGGCGCTGATTTTCTCTATCCGCGGACGCGTGTCGTAGCGGACCTGTGGCTCCGCGCGCGCGTGCGTAGTGGGTGGTGGTGCACGTGCGTGCGTGCGTGCGTGTGTGCGTGGTTGTCGTGGTGGTGGTGGTGGTGGTGGTGGTGGTGGTGGTGGTGGTGGTGGTGGTGGTGGTGGGTGGTGGTGGTGGGTGGTGGTGTGGTGGTGGTGGTGCTGGTGGTGGTGGGTGGTGGTGCTGGTGGTGGTGGTGGTGGTGGTACTGGTGCTGGTGGTGGTTGTGGTGGTGGTGGTGGTGGTGGTGGTGGTGGTGGTGGTGGTGGTGGTGGTGGCGGTGCGGCGCGGTGGTGGCGGGCGGATGGGCGCGCGAGAAAAAGGCCCGCGCTGGGGCGAGAACGCCATCCTGAACGACGGAGGCCAAACACCGATCCGAAAATGAGGCCCACGCTGCAGCGGGAGCACGATTCGGAACGATTCGGGAGCAGAAATAAATGAGGCCGGCGCCTCAACGAGAGTAGCA